TTTTCTATTGGGTTCAGGTCTGGAGACTGGCTACTCCAGGACCTTGAGATGCTTCTTACGGAGCCACTCCTTAGTAGCCCTGGCTGTGTGTTTCGGGTCGTTGTCATGCTGGAAGACCCAGCCACAACCCATCTTCAATGCTCTTACTGAGGGAAGGAGGTTGTTGGCCAAGTTCTCGCGATACATGGCCCCATCCATCCTCCCCTCAATACGGTGCAGTCGTCCTGTCCCCTTTGCAGAAAAGCATCCCCAAAGAATGATGTTTCCACCTCCATGCTTCACGGTTGGGATGGTGTTCTTGGGGTTGTACTCATCCTTCTTCTTCCTCCAAACACGGCGAGTGGAGTTTAGACCAAAAAGCTCTATTTTTGTCTCATCAGACCACATGACCTTCTCCCATTCCTCCTCTGGATCATCCAGATGGTCATTGGCAAACTTCAGACGGGCCTGGACATGCGCTGGCTTGAGCAGGGGGACCTTGCGTGCGCTGCAGGATTTTAATCCATGACAGCGTAGTGTGTTACTAATGGTTTTCTTTGAGATTGTGGTCCCAGCTCTCTTCAGGTCATTGACCAGGTCCTGCCGTGTAGTTCTGGGCTGATCCCTCACCTTCCTCATGATCATTGATGCCCCACGAGGTGAGATCTTGCATGGAGCCCCAGACCGAGGGTGATTGACCGTCATCTTGAACTTCTTCCATTTTCTAATAATTGCACCAACAGTTGTTGCCTTCTCACCAAGCTGCTTGCCTATTGTCCTGTAGCCCATCCCAGCCTTGTGCAGGTCTACAATTGTATCCCTGATGTCCTTACACAGCTCTCTGGTCTTGGCCATTGTGGAGAGGTTGGAGTCTGTTTGATTGAGTGTGTGGACAGGTGTCTTTTATACAGGTAACGAGTTCAAACAGGTGCAGTTAATACAGGTAATGAGTGGAGAACAGGAGGGCTTCTTAAAGAAAAACTAACAGGTCTGTGAGAGCTGGAATTCTTACTAGTTGGTAGGTGATCAAATACGTATGTCATGTAATAAAATGCAAATTAATTACTTAAAAATCATACAATGTGATTTTCTGGATTTTTGAAGTGTACCTATGATAAAAATTACAGACCTCTACATGCTTTGTAAGTAGGAAAACCTGCAAAATCGGCAGTGTATCAAATACTTGTTCTCCCCACTGTGTGTGATATATATATATATGTATATACACACACACACACACACACACACACACACACACACACACACATATATATATATATATATATATATATATATATATACACAGTGGGGGGGGAAAAAGTATTTAGTCAGCCACCAATTGTGCAAGTTCTCCCACTTAAAAAGATGAGAGAGGCCTGTAATTTTCATCATAGGTACACGTCAACTATGACAGACAAATTGAGGGGAAAAAATCCAGAAAATCACATTGTAGGATTTTTAATGAATTTATTTGCAAATTATGGTGGAAAATAAGTATTTGGTCACCTACAAACAAGCAAGATTTATGGCTCTCACAGACCTGTAACTTCTTCTTTAAGAGGCTCCTCTGTCCTCCACTCATTACCTGTATTAATGGCACCTGTTTGAACTTGTTATCAGTATAAAAGACACCTGTCCACAACCTCAAACAGTCACACTCCAAACTCCACTATGGCCAAGACCAAAGAGATGTCAAAGGACACCAGAAACAAAATTGTAGACCTGCACCAGGCTGGGAAGACTGAATCTGCAATAGGTAAGCAGCTTGGTTTGAAGAAATCAACGGTGGGAGCAATTATTAGGAAATGGAAGACATACAAGACCACTGATAATCTCCCTCGATCTGGGGCTCCACGCAAGATCTCACCCCGTGGGGTCAAAATGATCACAAGAACGGTGAGCAAAATTCCCAGAACCACACGGGGGGACCTAGTGAATGACCTGCAGAGAGCTGGGACCAAAGTAACAAAGCCTACCATCAGTAACACACTACGCCGCCAGGGACTCAAATCCTGCAGTGCCAGACGTGTTCCCCTGCTTAAGCCAGTACATGTCCAGGCCCGTCTGAAGTTTGCTAGAGTGCATTTGGATGATCCAGAAGAGGATTGGGAGAATGTCATATGGTCAGATGAAACCAAAATATAACTTTTTGGTAAAAACTCAACTCGTCGTGTTTGGAGGACAAAGAATGCTGAGTTGCATCCAAAGAACACTATACCTACTGTGAAGCATGGGGGTGGAAACATCATGCTTTGGGGCTGTTTTTCTGCAAAGGGACCAGGACGACTGATCCGTGTAAAGGAAAGAATGAATGGGGCCATGTATCGTGAGATTTTGAGTGAAAACCTCCTTCCATCAGCAAGGGCATTGAAGATGAAACGTGGCTGGGTCTTTCAACATGACAATGATCCCAAACACACCGCCCGGGCAACGAAGGAGTGGCTTCGTAAGAAGCATTTCAAGGTCCTGGAGGGGCCTAGCTAGTCTCCAGATCTCAACCCCATAGAAAATCTTTGGAGGGAGTTGAAAGTCCGTGTTGCCCAGCGACAGCCCCAAAACATCACTGCTCTAGAGGAGATCTGCATGGAGGAATGGGCCAAAATACCAGCAACAGTGTGTGAAAACCTTGTGAAGACTTACAGAAAACGTTTGACCTGTGTCATTGCCAACAAAGGGTATATAACAAAGTATTGAGAAACTTTTGTTATTGACCAAATACTTATTTTCCACCATAATTTGCAAATAAATTCATTAAAAATCCTACAATGTGATTTTCTGGATTTATTTTTCTAATTTTGTCTGTCATAGTTGACGTGTACCTATGATGAAAATTACAGGCCTCTCTCATCTTTTTAAGTGGGAGAACTTGCACAATTGGTGGCTGACTAAATACTTTTTTCCCCCACTGTATGTATGTATGTATGTATATATATATATATATATACACACACATTATATATACATACACATATACACACACACATATATACACACACACATGTGTATGTGGACACACCTTCAAATTAGTGGATTCTGATATTTCACCCACACCCGCTGCTGACAGGTGTATAAAAATCGAGCACACAGCCATGTAAACATTTGCAGTAGAATGGCCTAACTGAAGAGCTCAGTGACTTTCAACGTGGCACCGTCATAGGATGCCACCTTTCCAACAAGTCAGTTCGCCCTGCTAGAGCTGCCCCGGTCAACTGTAAGTGCTGTTATTGTGAAGTGGAAACGTCTAGGAGCAACAACGGCTCAGCCGGGAAGTGGTAGGCCACGCAAGCTCACAGAATTGGACCGACAAGTGCTGAAGCACGTAGCGCATAAAAAAATCACTACTGAGTTCCAAACTGCCTCTGGAAGCAACGGGAGCTTCATGAAATGGGTTTCCATGGCAGAACAGCAGCACACAAGCCTAAGATCACCATGCGCAATGCCAAGTGGCAGCTGGAGTGGTGTAAAGCTTGCCATCATTGGACTCTGGAGCAGTGGAAATGCGTTTTATGGAGTGATGAATCACACTTCACCATCTGGCAGTCTGACGGACTAATCTGGGTTTGGCGGATACCAGGAGAACGCTACCTGCCCGAATGCATAGTGCCAACTGTAAAGTTTGGTGGAGGAGGAATAATGGTCTGGGGCTGTTTTTTATGGTTCGGACTACGCCCCTTAGTTCCAGTGAAGGGAAATCTGGATGCTACAGCATACAATGACATTCTAGACGATTCTGTGTTTCCAACTTTGCGGCAACAGTTTGGGGCCTTTCCTGTTGCAGCAAGAAAATGCCCCGGTGCAGAAATGGTTTGTCGAGATCAGTGTGGAAGAACTTGACTGGCCTGCACAGAGCTCTGACCTCAACCCCATCGAACAACTTTGGGATGAATTGGAACACCGACTGCGAGCCAGGCATAATCGCCCAACATCAGTGCCCGACCTCACTAATGCTCGTGACTGAATGGAAGCAAGTCCCCGCAGCAATGTTCCAACATCTAGTGGAAAGCCTTCCCAGGAGGCTGTTACAGCAGCAAAGGGGGGACCAACTCCATATTAATGCCCATGATTTTGGAATGAGATGTTTGACGAGCAGGTGTCCACATACTTTTGGTCATGTAGTGTATATTCAAGCCATGGAATAGTTAAGAGTGGAAAAGGCTATAGGGACACTCCTGACATACAAACCAATATTTAATTTCAGAATTGGTTAAAATTAGGTTAGGGTAAGGGTTAGGGTCCGTTTTGTCCGGTCAGGAGTGTCCTATTAGCCTCTCAGAGTGGAGCTGCCGTTTTTCTTCTTAGTCCCATTATTCCTTCCTACATTTGTACAGTAAGCTCATCTAAAAGTTTTCATATAAAAAAAGTACAAATAAACATGTTACCAAAAGGCTAATATAAAAACAGCCATAGTACAACAAACAAACAAACATGATGTATTTGAAACTCACTAACAATGGAAGTCAATGGGGTTGTTTCTTCATGGGGCGTGGCTGTGCGGAGTTTGGCATGTAGGAGATGTAGGGTTGCAGAATTCCGGTAACTTTCCCAGGTTTTCCAGAAATCCTGCTTGGAGGATTACAGATTTCCTGGTTATTCCCTTACGATTCCAATAATCTTTCAACCGGGATTTCTGGAAAACCGCAGCATTTAAGGAAAATTACAGAAATTGTGAAAACTTAGTAGATGACAGCTTCAGAGAACTACAGGGAGTTTATGAGGTCTGTCTCCTCAATTGGCCGTCTGTCAGTAACACTGGAGAGACATTTAGCAGACGCTCTTATCCAGAGCCACTTACAGGGTTAAGTGCCTTGCTCAAGAGGTACAGCGACAGAGTCGGCTCTGGGATTCACCTAGTCGGCTCGGGGATTCGAACCAGTGACCTTTCGGTTACAGGCCCAATGCTCTAACCGCTAGGCTACCTGCCGCCCCGACTCCCCTGTAGTAGGACTGGTGTTGGCTTGGCACATCCAGTCTCACCCCCCCCCCCCCCCCCCCACCCCACCACCTACCCACCTCACCTCACCTCACCTCATCCAAGCTCCCCGACTCAGGCCACCGATGGGGGGCATGCCAGGGGGCATTGGAGGGGGTACCTGGCTCTGTCCTCCAGGGGGTGGGGGATAGCTGCTAGGAGGGATGGCCATCCCAGGCGGGTAGTCCCCATGTCCCGGGGGCATACGTGGAGGGGGTGGGTAGCTGTGGTTGTACCCCGGCGGGGGGTAGGCGGGCGAGGGTGGAGGGAGGTTGGGTGGAGGGTAGGACGTGGAGGGTGGAGGACCAGGCGGTGGGGCGTTAGGGGGGTAGACGTGGCTGCGGTAGGCCAGGGGAGGGCCATACGATGAGGGGATGGTGCTGTAGGATGGCCCTTCTGTCTTCATCATAGACTGGAGGCTCTGGAAGCCCTCTCCTGACATGTAGGAGCTGGAGGTTGGGATGCCCATGATGTAGCTGGATGGGGGTGGTGGAGCAGGGCGGTGGGGCAGCGGGGGAGGCTGGTGGAGGGAGGCTGAGTGGGGGGGGGGTGGAGGTCCTTTAGGGGGCTCCGTTGGGCCTCCTGCCCCAGTTGGGTCACTCTCTCCTGGGAGAGGGATGGAAGGGTGGGAGGCTGGAGGCTTGTGGTCTGCAGGGAAAAGAGAATTAGAGAACCCTTTGAGAAAGACTTGTGTTAAACAACAACAACCGAATCAAACCACTTCACACCATGTTCTTACTTCAACACGTGTGTACTTACACAGACACATGCACTGAGTCACACACACACCCCTTCCTAGAAGGGCCATGAAAACAGAGCTGTCTAGCGAACGGTGCTGTTTCTAAGCAGAGTAGTTTAACAGCTGTAAGGCAGTTATCAGATTAGGCAGAGCGGTTAGGCAGGTCAGACAGTAGGGTATCAGGCAGGTCAGACAGTAGGGTATCAGACAGGTCAGACAGTAGGGTATCAGGCAGGTCAGACAGTAGAGGGTATCAGACAGAGAATCAGACAGGTCAGACAGTAGAGAGTATCAGGCAGGTCAGACAGTAGAGAGTATCAGGCAGGTCAGACAGTAGAGTATCAGACAGTAGAGTATCAGGCAGGTCAGACAGTAGAGCGTATCAGACAGGTCAGACAGTAGAGTATCAGACAGTAGAGTATCAGGCAGGTCAGACAGTAGAGTATCAGACACATCAGACAGTAGAGTATCAGGCAGGTCAGACAGTAGAGTAGTAGCACTACAGTGTTCTGGATCCTGTCCACCATGGGGTTATGATGCAAGAAGATCCCCTCAGCCCATAAACGCACATACGTCATGCCTCTCTCTAACGACTGTGGTGTGTGTGCGATGATTAATATCCATCTATAAGCACATGCCAATCTACAGGCTTGTAATAACCAGCCAAGAGAGCTGTGTGTGTTGTGTGGTGTGGCGTGAGTGCGGCCTAGCGGTTAATGGCTTTATGCCAGTAACCGAAAGGTTGCTGGTTCAAATCCCAGAGCCGACTAGGTGAAAGATCTGTTGGTGTCCTTGAGCAAGGCACTTAACCCTAATTGCTCTTGTAAGTCGCTCTGGATAAGAGTGTCTGCTATCCCCTGCCTATCTAAAAGCTTGTGATTTGAACCAGCAGGCTACAGAGAACCCCCTACACTAAGTCTGATATCTAATCTAATAAGTGCTCGTCATATTTCTGCATGGTCTGACCTGGAGGTCTAAGCCTGGCCGCCTGGACACCTTTCCCTCTCAGCCAATCAGAGGACACCTCTCGTTCTCTCAGCCAGTCAGAGGAGTCGTCAGAGGAGACCAGTTAATACCAGCAGCTAAACACTTCTTCCTCCCCAGCTCAGCTAGCTCCTCCAGGGCCCGAGGGGACCAGGGGCTTCTCAGGGTATGTCCTAAATGACATCCTATTCCCTAAATAGTGCACCATAAAAGGTAATAGGGTGCAATTTGGGACACATCCCAAGGGCTTCCCAGGGGCTTCTCAACCACTTAGCAGGAATGCCATGTGTCAATAATCTATTCAGCAATATGAGACATTACAGTAGGGAGTGGAGTGATAGTGGTATGGAGCATTAACACCAGTTCAATGTTTATACTGCACAAGTAATCATTTCCCTAAGGGAAGAGCAGAAGATAAAACAATAAGGCTAATGAACAGGGGTCTTTATAAAACTTCACGACAAGATAGTATGTATTTCCTTGAGATTTATTTTATATTTTGATCTATGGTTGATGTTATATTCCCTCTGGAAACCAACAGGTGTGTACCAGTTGTTGCACTGGTGTTAAGGCTTAGTGAGTCTGGTGGTCATCTGAGTGGACCAGGGTAGGGGGCTCACCCGAGGGGGGTTGTGCTGTGGGTAGAGGGGGCATCGGAGGCTCCAGCCTGGGGATCTTAGGACCCACTGGCTCTGGGAGTGGTGGGGGGAAGAGAGAGAGAACTAACATACCTACTGTTATGAATCCTTTTCAAAAGAATATTGGCAGCCATACGTGTGAATGGAATCATCTACTGTCTGAGCCAGAGAAAAGGTTAATGTGCTCACCAGGTGCCTTGCTTTCTTCTTTAGGAGACAATACCTAAACAACAACAAGGGAAATGGGTGTCAAAAACAATTCAATTGAGTTAATCTGATCATAAAAAGAGCATGATGCCTGCCCGCACAATAACCTTTTAACTCAAGTGTCAAACTCACGTGGACTCGTTTGAGCTGGCGAGGAGGGCTGGTCTGGGGAGAGACCTTCTTGCTGAGTGGTGGCAGGACGGGGGGGTTGGGGAGGGGGAGCTGGGTGAGGGTCTGCAGCTGCTGGGGGGTGGGGACGGGGGTAGGGGGGGTCTTCTCGCTGGAGGTCTGGGGCATCTGCTGCTTGCCCTGGGAGTACAGGTCTAGGATCTGGTGGCATATGTCTATCGAGCAGAGGAGGAGGTCATTAATGAGGAGTGCATTTCAGAATTATGGATCTAAATGACGGTAATCCATCAGTAATGATACTAACATGTTTGTAAACAAACAGTCCACAAATTAAAAGAGGGGTGAAAGCCTCGCAAGCCACCCTGATCTCGCAAACTGTGCAGCGAGATCAGGATGAAAGAGGCTTTCAATTATACACTGCTCAAAAAAATAAAGGGAACACTAAAATAACACATCCTAGATCGGAATGAATGAAATAATCTTATTAAATACTTTTTTCTTTACATAGTTGAATGTGCTGACAACAAAATCACACAAAAATTATCAATGGAAATCAAATTTATCAACCCATGGAGGTCTGGATTTGGAGTCACCCTCAAAATTAAAGTGGAAAACAACACTACAGGCTGATCCAACTTTGATGTAATGTCCTTAAAACAAGTTTAAAAAAGGCTCAGTAGTGTGTGTGGCCTCCACGTGCTTGTATGACCTCCCTACAACGCCTGGGCATGCTCCTGATGATGTGGCGGATGGTCTCCTGAGGGATCTCCTCCCAGACCTGGACTAAAGTATCCGCCAACTCCTGGACAGTCTGTGGTGCAACGTGGCGTTGGTGGATGGTGCGAGACATGATGTCCCAGATGTGCTCAATTGGATTCAGGTCTGGGGAATGGGCGGGCCAGTCCACAGCATCAATGCCTTCCTCTTGCAGGAACTGCTGACACACTCCAGCCACATGAGGTCTAGCATTGTCTTGCATTAGGAGGAACCCAGGGCCAACCGCACCAGCATATGGTCTCACAAGGGGTCTAATGGCAGTCAGGCTACCTCTGGCGAGCACATGGAGGGCTGTGCGGCCCCCCAAAGAAATGCCACCCCACACCATGACTGACCCACCGCCAAACCGGTCATGCTGGAGGATGTTGCAGGCAGCAGAACGTTCTCCACGGCGTCTCCAGACTCTGTCACGTGCTCAGTGTGAACCTGCTTTCATCTGTGAAGAGCACAGGGCGCCAGTGGCGAATTTGCCAATCTTGGTGTTCTCTGGCAAATGCCAAACGTCCTGCACGGTGTTGGGCTGTAAGCACAACCCCCACCTGTGGACGTCGGGCCCTCATACCACCCTTATGGAGTCTGTTTCTGACCGTTTGAGCAGACACATGCACATTTGTGGCCTGCTGGAGGTCATTTTGCAGGGCTCTGGCAGTGCTCCTCCTGCTCCTCCTTGCACAAAGGCGGAGGTAGCAGTCCTGCTGCTGGGTTGTTGCCCTCCTACGGCCTCCTCCACATCTCCTGATGTACTGGCCTGTCTCCTGGTAGCGTCTCCATGCTCTGGACACTACGCTGACAGACACAGCAAACCTTCTTGCCACAGCTCGCATTGATGTGCCATCCTGGATGAGCTGCACTACCTGAGACACTTGTGTGGGTTGTAGACTCCGTCTCATGCTACCACTAGAGTGAAAGCACCGCCAGCATTCAAAAGTGACCAAAACATCAGCCAGGAAGCATAGGAACTGAGAAGTGGTCTGTGGTCACCACCTGCAAAACCATTCCTTTATTGGGGGTGTCTTGCTAATTTCTATAATTTCCACCTGTTGTCTATTCCATTTGCACAACAGCATATGAAATGTATTGTCAATCAGTGTTGCTTCCTAAGTGGACAGTTTGATTTCACAGAAGTGTGATTGACTTGGAGTTACAATGTGTTATTTAAGTGTTCCCTTTATGTTATATGCCTTTGTTTTTAACATTTAAAACATCCTACACAAATGACATAAACCCAGACAACTGTTTCATAGAGAAAGACCAGCCAGTCCCACCTTCCAGCAGCTCCACTGGGACATCCTGGACAAACTGCTCCCACCATCGCCGTGAAGACTGCTTCGACATCCACTCCTGGATGTCAAACTTACACAGCCGGCCGGCCAGGTACATGACTGCTACAGCTATGATCTCTGGCTCCCACTGCAGGGACAGCATGGTACACAGACTGAGGGGAGAGGAGAAAGAGTCCCTCAGTTACAGGGCACATATTCAGAAAGCATCTCAGAGTAGGCATGCTGTTCTATAATCAGTTTTGCCTATTAAATCATAATGATTAAGAAGGGGGACCTGATCCTAGATCAGCACTCCTACTCCGAGATGCTTTGTGACTATCGGACCTGATTGCATTATCGTAGGCACATGGGTATCGATGTACTTTCATGCTTCTGCTAAGTTATGCATCCATGTGTAGTTAACTGCTCACCTGTCATTCACAAAGGTCCAGGCCATCTGAACTAGTTTCTGCACTTTGTTCTTATCACCTGAAACAGATCGGAAATACTTCAGATCTGTGAACAGAAAGAGGTGAATAGTTTAGGGGTCGTTTTCATTCAGACATGGTAATAACAGACTAGATCAGATTGTTTTAGATAAACTGTAGTGCCTGATTCCCACTATAGGGCCAAGCTGTTACACCGTGCTGACTGGGTTATTATTTTCTCTTCACATTGTCCTTTTCCAGCACTGTTCCAGCAACTATTGTGAACAGCTCAGGGCCAATGTCAAATTCTGGTAACTTTACCAAAATTCCCAGATTTTCTAGAAATCCTGGTTGGAGGAGTCATGGATTTCCTCCTTATTTCCATCCAGGAATCTTCCAACCAGGATTTCTTGAAAACCTGACAATCTTAGGAAAGTTAGCATAATTTTGCAACCCTAATCAAGCATATGTAACAGTGTACCTTTGAGCTGCTTGGCGTAGCGAAGCAGGAACTGGTACGGGTGCTCCACCTGCAGGTCAAACTTAATGGTCTGCAGTAGGATCCGCTCCAACACCATCACCTCCTCCTGTAGAGGGACAGAGTCATGTAAAACATTGTGACCAGGAAGTATTTTGGATTCAGACTATGGGTTAAACTTTAAAACTAAATTGGGATCCTTAACGTTAAGAAAAATCCCTAACCGGAAAACTGTTTTTTAGTTTCCCCCCCACATAATTAAAACAACAAAACATTATTTTCCGTGTTATAGCCGATAGGCTATAAAGGGCCTGGGGAAGCCAAATAAAACAAGAGCGGAAGAGCCGAACTTCAGGCTACTTGGTGACTTTGCAAGACAAGACATTGCGAGATGCAGATTACCAAAACATATGAACACGCTTTTGCCTCCCTCTCCTGTTCTGTCTTTGCTAATGATGCAAGTGTGTCTTCGGTCTGTTGCGTGTAGAATATCCTAGCCAAGTCATGGCACCGATGTCTTCGGGCCAGTCTTGCGAGCACGGGGTAGCCTACTCTTCATTTTTGCCTCATATGAAATTGCAGTAGGCTACCGGTAGCCTGTATCGATTACCCCTTTCTGACATAATGGAATGTGTCCCCTTGAAAGCGCCTCGGGCTACGGCATGTTTGTCTGTCTGTCTGTTACGTTAGGCTACACGAAACATTCTCTGGTGATATGAAAGGACATTTTACTTGTCTGTAAAGGAATGCAGTTTCTGCAGCGGGACTAAAATCCATCACTAGGCAACCAGAACTGTCAATCAAATTATCTCTAGCAGCTGCATGCAGCCTGCTTGCTGCGCGCAGACCCCTCTCTCCAAAATAAGTGCTTTAAAGTTTGTTAAATACCGTGACTTACCATGACATTTAGTAGAAATAAAACACTTCTAGCTACCCTACCATCAAAAAACGGCATAAAAAACAACACAGCAGCACATCAATCAGCAATGTTTATTGTTGTCAGGGAAAAAATACAGAACATTTTACAACAGAGCAGAATTCTACTGTGTGAAAAAGGTACAGACCTGATGTGGCACTTTTTTAAATTGTCTGAAAAGTTGTCAATTGTCGCTATCGACATGTTACTGTAGCTGCGTTCTATGTCTGTTAAAGGCCGTGGTGGATATACCTTCATTGCCCGGCCCTAGTGGTCATGCATTGTAAATTGACGTGGAATTTAATGATTTTTTTTATTTTCATTTTAACAGAAACCCGATAAAAAATGGCAGTTTAAACGTTAAGCAAAATTGTCAATTTGTCACATCCCTAATTCAAACCCTGTCCTTCCCAGGGATGGAAAGATAATGTACTATCTGGTCAGTGGTCACAACTTTATACTAGCACAGCGTTTCCCAAACTCGGTCCTGGGGCCCCCAAGGGGTGCACATTTTAGTTGTTGCCCTAGCACTACAGAGCGGATTAAACTAATCAAAGCTTGATGATGAGTTGGTTATTTGAATTAGCTGTGTAGTGCTAAGGAGAATTTAAAAAACATGCACCCCTTGGGGTCCCCAGGACAGAGTTTGGGAAACGCTGTACTAGCAACTTACATTGAACAGGTTTAATGCAATGGACACACCCATTTGATGGTCGAGGTACCCTCAATATCAAAGTACCAACTATTACTGAATATATAACATCTTGTAATCCAGACAATTGTCAAAGGGTAAATTAGTTTACACACTTGTGAGGCTCTCACCTTTGGGTCATCTCCAAACTGGGCGAACTGTATATCGTTCAGCAGGCTGCGAGCGGTCTTGATGATGTCTTTACATTTCTTGGGGGTCTCTTCCACTTTACCTGCCAGGAATAGACAGCAACCCCCAGTCACCTGTAGAGACATAGCTTTCGTTAGCTGGGTATACATAGAACCAAAGAGATATAACACAGCCACAAATGAAAATGGGGAACTCTATTCAACCTGTGACAACGATTTCCATTGTAAAGGGCTCATCGGAACCATCTTTAACATAGCCAAGTCTGGTCAAAAGCATGAGTTGTACACTGTGCATACTTACATATCTGGGGAACTGCTTGAAAGAGTGAAACATGTAGAAGCGATGGAAGTAGATGATCCCTGTAGCCAATGTGTCATAGTGTCTGATCACAGGGTTAAGGAACTGAAGTTACTGGAACAGTGATGTGGATAATGAAATACTATTGATAAACAAACAATACATTATTCTGAGAACCATGAAGCTGGACCAGTTTACTCTCCTGGCTGCCAACAACCAACAAAACGAGACACGTCCAGATCATGCACAGTTGCACAACAGTGTGTGTTTGCTGCTAAACAGTGAAGGAAAGATACAGTCCCAGGCGTGTGCCCACGTCGAAGATGAACCGAGCCCCCTCTCTCCGGTACCGGGCCTCGGTGGCCGGGTCGAGGCCCTCGGACTGGGAGGGGGTGTGAGCCAGGTCATTCTTGTCCCAGTACCAACATGGCTTGATGTGATCCAGACTTGCAGCTGGATTTCCAGGGATCGAATTATCCCTGTATTCTTTCATTAACTATCCTTAAAATGGTAGAAGCTTACTAGTTAGCTAGCTTGCCACTGCACTGTACCCGTTCGATGAAAGGGATTTAGCACAGCGATGCTATCTCTTTACCATGTGAATAACCTCTCTATAGCTACAGCTAACTGCAGAAATAGTAAAATGATTTAATCCATTCAATTAAAACAGCTACACTTGTATTGGAGTGTATGGTGACATCAAAATAGGAAACAATCTCTCACCACACAACAGTGGGATGAGCACCTTGTTCTTTGAAAGAACGTCGATCGATATCCTTCTCTACAAATCATGTCGCCTGAATCGTTCTTCTTCTGTTGACTTTATATTGCGGTTGGAAACCAACTTTAAGGTGCATTACCGCCACCAACTGGACTGGAGTGTGGACCAGAGACAGGTAAAGTCTAACTCCTACCCAATATTCTCGTCTCCCTAAGAAGACGAAATACATAATTAAATACTACATCCCCTGAAGATTTTCCCAGCAGTCTACTTAATCTTGGTTATTCAACTCCATTACTCCTTAAATCGAATAACAATCTCTCTCTCTCTCTCTCTCTCTCTCTCTCTCTCTCTCTCTCTCTCTCTCTCTCTCCCTCTCTCCCTCTCTCCCTCTCTCCCTCCTTCCCTCCCTCCCTGCCCCCACCTTTTCTTGGATTTCTACAGGTATCCCCTTTCCCACAACTCTTGCCATTTGTTTTTAACCATAGTTTTTATCAACCCCTTGGCTTCTGCTTTACTAATTGAAAATTCCATCTCAACATTAGGATGTTTGACAGCCTGCTTGGCGTGAACATCCACCTCCTCATTCCCCTCTACTCCCACATGAGCTGGTACCTAGAGGAACATCACAAATACCCCCATCTGTCTCACCCTATACAAGCACGGCAAAACCTCATACAATACATCCTGTCTGCTCCAAGACACAAATTAATTTAAGCTCAACAGTGCTGCACAGGAGTCAGAGCAGATGACTACCCTGTCTGGCCTCACCTCTTCCACCCACTCTGCAGCCAAGAGTATGGACAGCAACTCCATTGTGTCACTGCCACCTTAAACTCAGGAACACTAAAAGCTGCACCTGTCCTCCCTGTTTTAGGGTCCTTAGATCCATCTGTGAATATATTCAAGAAAGCATAGTACTGTGTTCTTAAATGTTCACTTACAACTGAATCTACTCTTTCCTCAACAGCTCTTACCCTCTCAAGCAACCCTAGATCTATCACTGGCTGAGGGCGCAACCAAGGTGGGATAGCCGGAAGAACCACAGAGGGGCTAAACTCCCTCATTGAGGGTGTAAGATTCTTTTTTACTTTCTTGAATACGTCAGCTCCAAAATGCAGGTGTTTCAGCCTAACACAGTGCTTTCTGTGTTGGTGGTGGGGCAGCCAGCGGAAAATATGAAGTGTAGGGGTTGGTAATGTTCTCTAGATGTACTGTGATTGGCTCAGTGTTCTGTCACTCATGGGGACACTACATCACAGCAAAAGTTACAGGGAGAGCTCAACAATTCAAGCCCCTTGGGTTCTGCCATATAGTTACATTAGAAGTGCCCATCCAAGAAGGTCATTGGCCACAGATAAAATTACGTCAAATCACATTATATCTACCGTAGCTTTGATTGGACTGATCATGTCAACGTCATACTTTCAAAAACTTAACTAGCAAGCTAGCAGTCATCATCATGAATTAAGTCAACAATCTACTGGCAAATCCTTTTCAATCCTAAATTATGAAGATAAATTATATATAAAATGTATCAGTGCTCATCAGCCATTGGACAAACATTACACAACAAGTTGGAAATCGCAAATTCAACAATTAGTGGTTTGGAAGGAATCAGTGGCTAACTGCAAGCATTGCAAAGCAATCACTAGCCTGCTATTCAGTGGAGTGGGTGTGTGGTCCAAGTCTGGGTTTAAGGGTCTCTTTTCCAAGCTTAAAAGGATAAACATTCAACATTGGCCATGCTGTCAATCCAGCATGACTTCTGCTGCGTTCAAAATAACTGGAAACTCGGAACTGGGAAATCTCAGACTTCAGTGAGTTCAAGACAACTGGGAACTCGGTACAAAACTAGCTCTGACTGGGAAATACAATTTGAACGGTCATCCAACTTGGAATTCCAAGTCGGGAACTCGGGCCTCTTTCTAGAGCTCCGACCTGAAGATCACTGACGTCGTGATACGACCTTGTTTTTTTCTGAGTTCCATGTTGTCTTGAAAGCACCATAAATCCAGAGAATGGCAAACTTTGATGACAAAGTTTGATGACAAATACTTATTTTCCACCATAATTTGCAAATAAATTCATTAAAAATCCTACAATGTGATTTTCTGGATTTATTTTTCTCATTTTGTCTGTCATAGTTGACGTGTACCTATGATGAAAATTACAGGCCTCTCTCATCTTTTTAAGTGGGAGAACTTGCACAATTGGTGGCTGACTAAATACTTTTTTCCCCCCACTGTATCCTCTTTATTTCTCCTATGGTTCTGACTTTGTATACAGGGAGAATATTGTAAGAACGGCCCATGTTCTGAATTCTGTCGCTGTACATTTCAAAAGTGCTGAACAAATAGTTATATTGACTATGTCCATCCTAGCTCGCTCATTAATGTCTTAGCGAAATTACAGGATTGCCTCTTATCCGCTCGTCATCCCCTTAAGCCATAGTTTGTACATCTCAATTGTCAGTAGAAACCACATTTGTTTAAGCAAGTCAGCCATATCAGCTATGTTTTTTGAAAAGGCAGTAAATGAGACTGAATGAACTGTTTTACTGCCAGACAAGGCTCAGCTGATAGTCAGGTGTAGCAGTGGTAATGTGTTGGGACTGCTGTTGGGACTCTGCTGTTGGGACAGCTTTATGTAGGCCCTAACAGTTTGTGGGCACCGTTTGTCACCGTTATAGTACAATTAATGTATTGTTAAGTGTTGTGCTGTGTAGTGGCTTTGCTGGCATGCATCTACACATTTTGGGTGGAGTTTGCCCCACCAACATTTACATGCTAAAAAGGCCATCAACTCTAGTCTCTTACATGGGTTGTAAAAGTTCACAATGACCATATTCCCCCCTCCCAACCACACCTCTACATACTCCTGTTCAACTCATGATCCCACATGCCTATATGGGATCCTGCACTTTATAAAAAGGTAGCACACCCTTCCCTCCCCCTGCCACCCTATCTCTATGGACTGCAACATAACCTTGTAATACAAAATCTAGAGTAGGTTTAAGCCAAGTCTCCTGGAGACATATCACATCAGGTTTGGCTGGTAACTCCTCAATAAACTTTTTAAAGTATTGCCCATTAGCCATCAAACATCTGTCATTCCATTGGAGGATTAACACAACTATGAAAATTAACCAATACATGATTCCAGGCTGGACTGATTCTCAATCTTATTGAGGTCATCCTGTACATTTTCCCATGTCAGTCCTGTGATCTCAAGATACTTTACTGCCTGCTCCACTATGATCTGTATCTTCTTAGTCTTAGATTGTAATGTTTCTGTGCAATTGTTTGCTACGGTCACAAATGTAACAACCTTCCTCATGTCTACTAACAGTCTTGTGTTCTCCCCCATTCTGCTCCCTACATCACGACCAACCTGCATCTCAAATCTGCCATGGAATACCTGCTCTTCTAAATGCCCCGCTTGTTTCTGCGTGAACTACTGTACTACTACTGCTTCTGCATACCAGACGTTACGCTCACTCCTCCTGCTGCACTTCCATCTGTCTTTTCATCATGGCACAACCCCCAGTTACAGCTCTTTAACTGGACCCCATCTCCACATTCTCCATATGCATGTTCTCCCCCACACATCTCACATCTCCATTTGCCTTTACACAACGCTGCCACATACCCTTTGACAGATAATACAACGCAACGGTTTCAGAACATAAACTTGCACATAGTAACTCATATGCCAAATCCTATTTTTTTTCTGTCAGTGCTACAAAACTTTGAGGAAATTGTACCGACAGATTTTTTTTGGGATTGGGCATATGAAGGCTATCCATCTTCTTCCCATCTCGTGTCATCTGGTGATGTAGAGGTTATCCCAGGCCCTGTAGCCCCCAGTATCACTCCTACTCCCCAGGCGTTATCATTTGTTGACTTCTGTAACTGTAAAAGCCTTGGTTTCTTGCACGTTAACATCAGAAGCCTTGAGTTATTCACTGCGTTAGCACACTCCGTCAACCCTGATGTTCTAGCAGTGTCTGAATCCTGGCTTAGGAAGGCCACCAAAAATTCTGAAATTTCCATCCCCAACTACAACATTTTTCGTCTCGATAGAACTGCCAAAGAGGGTGGGGTTGCAATCTACTGTAGAGATAGCCTGCAGAGCTCTATCATACTATCCAGGTCTGTGCCCAAACAGTTTGAGCTTCTACTTCTAAAAATCCCCCTTTCCAGAAATAAGTCTCTCACTGTTGCCGCTTGCTACAGACCCCCCTTAGCCCCGAGCTGTGCCCTGGACACCATATGTGAACTGATTGCCCCCCATCTATCCTCAGAGTTCGTACTGCTTGGTGACCTAAACTGGGATATGCTTAACACCCCGGCCAACCTACAATCTAAACTAGATGCCCTCAATCTCACACAAATTATCAAAGAACCTACCAGGTACAACCCTAAATCTGTAAACATGGGCACCCTCATAGATATCATCCTGACAAATGTACCCTCTAAATACACCTCGGCTGTCTTCAACCAGGATCTCAGCGATCACTGCCTTATTGCCTGTGTCCGTAATGGGTCCGCGGTCAAACAACCACCTTGACCTCATTCCATCAGTAGAGGATGCCTGGTTGTTCTTTAAAAGTGCTTTCCTCTCAATCTTAAATAAGCATGCCCCATTCAAAAAATGCAGAACTAAGAACAGATATAGTCCCTGGTTCTCCTCAGACTTGACTGCCCTTGACCAGCACAAAAACATCCTGTGGCGTACTGCTTTAGCATCGAACAGCCCCCGCGATATGC